TATATATATCTATATATATATCTATATATATATCTATATTATAGATACTAAGTATCTCACAGGTATTAAGAAAATTATATATATAAAAGGGTTTTTTTTCCATAAGTAGTGAATTACAACAATAAAAATTATTTTTTATATTATTTTAATTAATTGAATTTTTGGATGACCATACAACTGTTTCGAGTGTTGCCAAATACCCATCACCAGTGATCTTGGAAATAATTCTTGTATTTTATTATTGGTGAATAATTTTTTTGTGACTGCAAGCACCAGGAATTGAACTTGTGCCCTGCTCAGAGTCAGCTCAGAGTTAGCGCTTATTAACCAATTGACCCAAAGTCGTACTTGACTTTTATGTTCGCACATTGTTTTTGAGTTTTGTTAATTTGCTGTGAAAGTTCATTAATAAATTTACTTGTTATGTTTATATTAGAACGAATTCATAAATTAGTTGTAGAATAATTGAATTAATTAATTATATTTTTATATTTAATTATTAAATTTCAATACTATTCCGTTTGTAGAGGCAAAGATACATGTATTTATATATATATATATATATATAGATATATCTATATAAATAGATTTATATAGATAAAAAGATATACATATATATAGATATATATGTAAGTAAATACCAAACAGTATCTATGTTTCATATAAATTTTTTATTGAAATAAATAACAATTATTTTATATAAATACATATACTTTAAAGTTTATTTTTGCAATATTATTAATATATATAAAAAGGTCAATTTAATTTTTGGTATTATTGAATGAAATTAAATAATAATTAATGTGCAAGGATTGTTTTGACATTGAGATGATTGTCAGATATTTCCTTTGATAAACTTTACAAAAGCAAAATTATGGAAATACAATTAAAATAATTTAAAACAAGTGTTAATTTTCTCACCAACATTTATTTTAATTATATTCAAATAATCACTATTTCTCAAATAAATTAATAATATATGCCAATATTGCATTAAAAATTTATTCGACATTTAATTTCAATAAAAAATTGTTTTTTATATAATAATATCAATAGCAAATTTTATTATTTAAGTAATTATTATTTAATTGCTATTTAAAAATTAAAGCAATTCTTATTTTTAATGCTACTTTAGTACATAATTTTATGTTAATCAAATATTAATATTTTTTTGAAAATAATATAAATAATAAACGTACATTTTATAAAATATAAATATCTGTTTTAAATACCTATTTAATATGGAAGATAGGTATTAAAAACCTGTCACCTTATACGTATATAAAAGAGGAATTCTGACATTAACATTGAATTATTAAATTAAAGCCTGTTAGGATAAAAACAAAAGTATCAGTTTTTAATTTAAATAAAACAAATTTTTTAAAAAAAGCGATACACATATGTCAACGCTTAATCCAATCTTCCATACACTTTTCGTAGGCCTTCCGTGCAGGTATGGCTTTTAGTTCCTTCGGCGAATTCCCTTTTACCTTTTGAGTTTCGGGAACAGGAAAAAGTCGCACGGCGTCAGATCTGGTAAATATGGTGCTTGACCGATGACAGTGGTGCCGTGTTTGATCAAAAAATCACGTACAACAAAAACTTTTCATAGTAAAAATCGTTAAATGCACTTGAGGTAGTCTTACATTAACAGCTGCTGTAAACAAACTAATTGACAGATGGCGCTCAAATTTGTACCATATGTCAAGAAAGGGTGTACCAACATAACAAAAAGTTTAATGTTCACATTACAAAAAAAATTTTTTGAAAAAGGTCTATTACTTAAGGAGTAGTTAACAAACAACAAAATCCGGATACTTTTTGAGCAGAAGGTACACGACTTCATAATACTTTTGAGAACAGACTAAATATCGATTTCTAATTTAACTTCAACAAAAATGTTATCTATTTAACCTGACAGACTTAACTACTGCCGGTGCAATTTGCTATCATGCATATCTGGGATGTCCAGACTAAATAAATAGCTGACCAATATCACTGAATAGGTTAGATGGCCGCAGAAAGTAATACGATGATAATCTTAAATTTAGTTTTATTAATTGATTATTCTCTTATATAAAGAAGACACTTTTATACTCTTATATAGAAATTAATATTGTGATCATAGTAAGAAATGGACAATATATTTGAAGTAGTATATAATATTGAGTGTAATAAGAAGTATCTACTGTTTTTGCTACAAGAAAATTTCTTTAAAAAAAAATTTTTTTTAAATATAATTGATATTACCCATAGCGATTTCCAATTGCTCTTCGGTCGTCAAACTTTTTACCATTAAAGGAGTATTACAAAGACCGAAATCAATGGTAGTCAGATAATGTAGGATTCTTTAGTTATTAAGTATGTTTGTCATGGTGAAGCAGAATTCCTTTTCTATAGGACAATTTTGGTCAATTTTCCTTTATTATTTCGTTCAAGCAGTTGAGCTATGAGCAATACCAAATCACCTGTTTACCAGGGTGGGGCAGTCGATAATAGACCATTCCTTTCCAATCGCAATAAACACTTAACATAACCTATAAGAATTAACTTTCTCAGCGTCATCTAAAAAATTTTCACAATTTTGCTGTCCTAAGTGGATCTGTTGTTAATTTTATCAAATTAACGATTAAGTAAATATTTATTATGAAACAAATTTTAGAATAGATAAGGGAACCTAATACCACCATTTATTTTATGACTTTAAAGTTGTCTATGATTTTTTTTTTATAGAGAACATTTTTTATTAAACTCTGAAAGTGTTTGATTTTGTAATAAACTTATCAACTATAAAAAGATCACAATGAATATAGTTGTAGGCATGCGGTTTTCATAAACACTTATTATCTCTGAACATATGAACTTAAACAGAACAGATATCACACTCTACACGGAACTGCTAAGAGATCACTATAGTTTGCGATACCGTCTGAAGAAAATTGGTACAGCAGACAATGATTCTTGCCGACTCCGTCAAGAACACTTTCAATGCGCTTATGCAATTATGGCAAGATGCAGATTTAACTATCTAGTCTGGATTAGACTAATGGGGCGAAATGCTGCACAAAAGATCTTTCAATTCGCAGTGCATGTATGGTCTAGCCATAATAATAATAATAATGCCAGAAGTAACGAGAATAAATGAAAAATATTAACATGGGCTAAGTTATCACGATGATCTTTTGGTTAACTGCTTATTAGATGACATAAAAGAAGACTGTGCTAGAAGACTGTAATGGTACCATATATTCGATCTACCTTCTTGGAATTAATATAATAACCTCACAAATTTTCATCAAATAAAAAGTAAAGTTAAAGCAAGTTCACAGTGTTTGATTTAGGCATTTATTTATTTATATTAATGAGTGTTAAAGCTGAATGTTCACATCATAATGATTTAATTTATGCAGTGGTCTTATATGTCAAAAAAGTTATTAAATAACTTTCGTTTGTTTACATATTAGTTGTAAGAAAAAAGTTTTGGTGTTATATAAAATAATTCTTTTAAAATGAATAGGTGTTAGTTACATTAGTTTATATTTTATATATAAAACATATGTCAAATATATTAAATTTCGATCATTTTCCTTTAGTTCCCTGTTATTCTGTATTTTACTTTTACATCCTATTTCATTTCTCTGCATTTTAAAGGCTTTTTCAGCTTTTTCGAACTGATTTAAGGCGAAAAATTTGTAATTTACAAAGCGTTGTATAGCTATGTATTGTAAATTAACCTCGTTAGCGGCCTTAATGAGCAAAACTATCTAAATGAAGCACTGTGAACGTGCTATTACGTTATATTAAAAGCTACAGCCTAAATATTTCATTGTAGAATATTCAGTAAATGTGATAAATATTTTTGATATGTGGCTGTTAATTTATACCATTTACTTATTATATTTGGTTATTTTTTATTTAATTATTTTTTATTATATTTTTTGTTTATATTATAATAATAATAATAATAATAATATGATATTATAATAATATATTATTTTATTTTTAATATATTATATTATTTTTACAATAATAATATAATATATTATTTGTAATATAATATTATTATAATATTTATTTTTATTACCATTTATTAATTTACTTTTATGCAAATGATAATTAATAATAATAAAAAGAAAAAATCTTCTCAATCGATTAAAGAAGGTAATTCATTAATATTATGTTATAAAATTATTTATTGATTTTCTTTTTATTTTTTTGTTAGATAATAACATAATCTTTATTAAAATTAATTATTTCAAACTAAAATTATTTCGATGATCCTAAGCATATTAAAAATTTTAATTAAATAGCTGAGCTAATTACTTGACCCTGAAATAATATTGTTGCTTTATAATTACCATTCGAATATTACTAACTTTTATATAAATAATCACTTTTAAGTTATGGGAAATCTAATTGGAAATCCATACACCCATTAAAGTGAGTGGTGTCGTTTATAATAACATGTTTACGCCAATACTCGCCGATGGGCTTGGCCTCTCTTGTATATAAAAACATATAATTAATCAACGCATTATAGCTCATTACATTAGAATAAAGGGATTTTAAAGCAAAATGCTTTTCATAATTCATGGAACATAAGTTTATATATTCTCAACTAAATGAAGACGTTAGCTCGATGTGATTCAATGAAGAGAATTAGTCCGGAAATAAAGTAAAAAGTTAAGGACGAAATTTCTGCTGCAATCATTTTCACTTAAGGAAGGAATTTGGACGGCTGCCAAGAAAGCATCAAAAGTTGCACTTACGCTGCCCTATAGATGTGCTTACGTATGAATATTACTTCATCTGAAAATAGGTTTCACAGTCAGTGGGAAGTTTATGTCCGTATTGTATTCCAAGTTGATCATTTGATTCAACACAACAAAAGGCAAAATAAAGTCCGTCAAATACTTGAAAAATTTATTTCATTGTTAAGTAGGAAAGAATAGAAGCTTCACAAAAGCAGACAAAAGATTGCGAATCCTTATTTGGTTGAAATGTCAGTTAGCAGCGTCGCTATATTCAATCGCTATGCGATGTCCTGGAAAATGTTGGGCATCAATACAGGACGCAACAAATATCTATGCGGCTTGTATGACATTTTTGTGACGCTTTTCATGACGATCAACTTTCCGCTCCATCTCAACATTGGACTGCTGCAGAGCAAAACGCAAGGTGAAATAATAAGTAATTTGGTGGTAAATGTGGCGGCCAGTGCATGCAGCGTCAAACAATTCATTTTGCGTAGAAAGCTAACAAAATTGAACGAACTGAATGAAATATTTGGACAACTGGATGGTCGCGTTATAGACAAGGATGAGCAACTGTACTTTCAGAAGATTATGTTGCGTGATGCACGTTTCCTGCTCAACACGTTTATTACCATTTACGTATCTGTCAGTGCTGCTGCCATTTTGGCACTGCTGATGGACGAAGAGAGACGCCTCTTGTTGCCAGGATTCTTTCCATTCGATTGGCGTGCGACCAATCTGAGTTATTTATGTGCTGTTGGCTATCAGTTTGTCGGTTTGTCAATGCAAGTGCTGCAGAATTTTGCCAATGATGTTTGCGGTCCGTTAAGTTTATGCATGTATGCAGGTCACGTACATCTCTTGAGTATGCGTGTATCCAAAATAGGGCACAATGCAGATATAACACCAGAACAAAATTATACTGAATTAATCGCTTGCATTGAGGACTACAAAAAGCTGATGAGGTTTGTGGAGCTTGGTTCACTGTTGGTTCACACTGAAATTTTTAATGTTATGCATTTGCTTCTTTTTTTTTTATCAATTTAGAATGTTCATTATATTGCAGGACACTTTGTCCTCTGCAATGTTTGTGCAATTCGTGTGCAGCGGGTTCAATATTTGCGTTGCTGTGGTTTCGATATTATTTTTTGCCGATAATTTATTTGCAATTGTGAATGCCATTGTGCTCCTCATAGCTATTTCAGTGGAAGTATTCCCAGCTTGCTACTACGGTAGTATGCTGCAGTTGGAGTTCAGAGATTTGCCGTATTCCATTTTCTCATCGAACTGGGTAATGCAATCGCGTAAATTTCGTTATAATGTTGTGATTTTTGTAGAAATGTCCTTGAAAGAAGTAACAGCATATGCTGGAGGAATGGTAAGGATACATATTGATTCGTTCTTTGCTACATGCAAGTTAGCATATTCATTTTTTGCACTTATTCAAACCATGAAGTAGACAGTCTTAGAAGACAAATATATGCAGTATATACCTAATAATAAATGATTTTTCTTGGAAGAATAGGTCCTCTAAATGGTCCTTAGAAGGAAGCAAGGTTCATTTTTACAAAATTGAAAATTTGAGCATGGACAAAAATTATTTGCTAAGTAGTTGTCATACTTATTATGGTGAATTGCACTTTAAAGTAGAAACTTAACTAATGTACAATAAAAATATTAAAAATTTTAAAAAAATTTACGTGTTATTATTAAAAGGAAAGTGTATAGAAACAGTAAATAAAATTTGGTAATAATAGGAAGATAGAAAGAAATAGTAGTTATTAAGTAAAACACACAAAGAAAACATAAGAAAATAAAAACGATGGTTTCTTTTGATAATTTATCTTTAATAATTTAATTTAATCCTAAAACATTTGCGTTATAAATATTGATATCTGATACTGTTAAATATTCTACCATTAGGAACATACATTCTTTGATTTATGGGGACACGTCAGCTTCGGTTTTGGCCTTAAAAGCTTACATCAAGTGCACAGTTCCCAGAAAGGCCTTATGAGTGCCTTTCTGTCGTATACCAAAAATTATTATTCATCAAAACATACGCAAAATTTTTTACCACAAAAAATATACTTTCTATATATAAGTATGAGTTTTATTTTAATTTAAAACTCTAAATCCTCTTGAATAAGGACCCTATACCTTCAAGTGCCTCAGGTCAGCACATAGAAAGACTATAGTGAATTTCTTTTTTGGCAAATATCATTATTCTGTGCTATAAGCAAGTACATATATGATTCTAAACTGCTAAACTGTTACACGGTATTCTAAATACAGGTATAAATAATACAGACACCTTTTGATTTTATGGGAAAACAAGTAGCTACACAATCATCTCTCAGACTACGGGAGAATATTGCATGTCAACAAGGTGACTGTGGATATGCTTTAATGATTCGATGCAAAATAACAGTATCTGAGATACTGTATTCCAGGTTTTTTTATCATGCCAAAATACATAATTTATTTTTTCTCTCGAATAGAATTAGAAAAAGTGAAATTAGATAAAGAAAGTTACTGTGCCATATACTCGAAAAAATCCAAGCTGTACAATAAGATGTGAGAGAAGTTACCTCTGTTCATTTCATGTGATATATAAACTCATGTCAACTGTTTTCGTTATAATTTATATTTATTTTTGATTCATTTTTACAACAATAACATTATTATCCTACTATGGACATATGAATTAACTTGATTTATTTTACTTAAGTAGTTGAAATCTAACGAGTTGCACAGAAGAAGAGAATAATATTCGAGGTATTAGAGTACTAACTGTTTACTGATTAAGGTTTTAATTACTCCAACTTCTAATTTAATAAAATACAGTGAAAGTAATTGAACATCAAACAAACGGTATCAAATATTCCATATTCGATTTAAATATATAATAAAATTTTATAATCTAATTAAGCCAAAAGCCAAAACAAAGCTTTATATTTACGTCGAATTATTTTTACTTCATGCTCATAATAGCCGTGAAGAAAGAGTATGCCATTTTACATGTAACAAAAAACGAATCTAGATGAATTCTAACCATGCCACCAGCCAGAGCGGTAACGTTCCTGAGAGATAGTTGGGTAAAAATGATGACACTTCGTCGAAACTTTTGTGGCTGAGTAAACCATTTGCATGAAAATATGGCATAGGGCAGATCCCGAAATTCCTGTTCCATAAGACTGCCATAGTAACAAACCGGGAAGAGTTCCACACATATTGAAAACAAATGCATAGTATAGTAAACGTAGGTTATAATGCTGTTAGCGTAAAAAATTAAATAAACCACAGCTACGCAAATATTGACTGCGCCAGCAAAGAATTGTACGAACAAGGGTTTGGACACCACTTTCTGCAACGTAGTATATATACTAAAAAAACAATGTTTATATTATTAAAACAGTTTTTGAAAGAACAACTTAATACCTCATAAGATAATTATAATCCTCAACACAATCATGCAAATCGCTGAGATGAACTAACGCGTTCGTATTTTCATTGTGTCCAATTTTGGAAACTCGCATACCTAGTAAATGTACATGACCCGCAAACATACAAAACGCTATAGGTCCATAAACGTCATTAACAAAATTTTGCACGATTTGAACATATAAGCCAAAAAATTGGAACAATACTGCACCAACATATGTCTGTGTTGTGGATTTCCAATCGAATGGAAACCAGGCTGGGTACACTAAACGCCGATTTTTATCCAGAAAAAGCGATGCAATCGATAGAAAACCAACAGAAAAATAAGCTGTACTAAACATGGTCACCATTTTATTTGCATGTCCATTGACTTTCTGATGAAAATAGGCACGTTCATCCTCCGCCACAACACGAACATCCAGTTTGGATAGCAAATGATTCACCTTGTGCATATTTTTCAAATCTCTAAGAAGGAAAAAGAACTTAATACTGCAAGCCGTCGAGGCTACATTTATAACTAAGTTATTAAAAAGTTCTTCCTGTGATTTAGTCAGCACCAGTCCAATATTAAGATGTAAGGGAAAGCCAAATGTTATAGAACCTGTTACAATTATTTGATAGATAAACATTAGATACTTGTTATATTTAGTTGAGAAACCGAGTATCTTCCAGAATATATAATAACGTTCAAACACAGCATTGCTGTCTATTATTTCAGTCATTTTATGGTAGTTTAAAGATTTTTACTTTCTTTTTCTAATTGTTTCGAAAAGTGATTAGTATTGACTGCTGCCCACTCGTGTCGTATCGGTTAATGGCAAGATACTTTACAATATTAAATGTTATATCAACTGCATATCTCCTAGAAGGCGACATGTTCTTTAGCAGCTAACTCTCATTGCCTCTATTTCAGCATTCAAAACGTATAAATTATAAGTCAATTACTGGTATTTACGTTAATTAATAATTATATATTCTCTGGAAAGCATATAATTAGTTTTCATATTACCAAACCAAAACAGTTTATAATGACTTAATTATCTGCTGTTAAAATATTTGTTGAAGTTGGGAAGGGAAATCCTATTAAGCAATGCAAATGAGGCAAGCAAAATTTTGTTCCAACTCAACCCGGAAAATGTATTTTAATTATGTTTTCATTTCAGTTAACGCAAGTGATTGGGTAGTTTATAGTACTAAACTTTAAATAAAATTTCAAACTTTTGTTATAAAATGAGTTTTCTTTATTAAAACAATAACTTCTATATAACATGTATTCTCTAAAGAAGATATCCGGTATTGTAAAACAAATCACTATAAAAAAATCATCAATCAAACGAGACTTATTTTATCGCCTTTGAAGTAGGCCCCATCCAGTGCAAATAAGCGGCTAGCAATACTCAAAGGTTAAAGCTTAATCCGAAAATATTTTGTAGACTAATTGAGGTACGGTCTTCAACTCCTTGAGCGAATTTTGTTTTATGGACACCATTGGATCGGAATGTTAGGTGAGTACGGTGCTTAGTGATAATACGATCGTGAAACACTCAAAGGTATAATTGTGATCCTTATTTGACAGCATTACTTTAGTAACATATGTCAAACACAATCGTCATCGAAGACATCAAATGAATAGTTCAAAATTTACAATTTTAAAATATCAATCCTATACTCCTCTGCAGTCTCTACAATTTGGGTAGAATATCAAATCGTGCAGGTCATAGTTACCGCCTTGAGGCTTTAAAATCAATTATGTTAAATAATTTTCTAAATTAACAGCAATTAATTTAGAAAAAGAGATGATTTTAATATTGAAAAAAAAATATATATAAGTAATTATAACAAATTTGTTATAAAGAAAACAATTTATTTTCATTTACGGATCTTACTCATGAATAACTTAATAGTCAATATGGAAAAAACAACTAACAAGTCTTAAAATAAAAATGATTTATTGGATAAAATTATATACTTGGAGATAAGTAGCAAAGAACGAATACAAGACACTTAAGGTCATATGGTATTGCGTACATTTCAATTCTTTTAGTCATATAAGTAAAGAGTTTTGCTCATTTATTTGCCATACATAAGGCAAATGATATTGAAATCGATCCCACCAACTCGCTCACTTAACTCCACTCCACCATGTTTATCGAAAATAGTCAAAGCTATTAAAAACTTGAAAACAAGTAAATCTTCTAAAATAGATATTATACCGGCAAAATCTTGAATCGATTTTTATTGAAATATATAAAAAATTAAAAAAATTATTGACGGATTGACTTCAAACAGTTCCTATCAAGGTACCAAGAAAATGAGAGCGGATACTATGTAAAACTCAATATCTACGATCATTTAAACATTACTCATAGTAGGATAAAATCATGTGGTATAAAAATAAATTAACAACACCAATACAATTTTCAAAAAAATCAACTTCAAAGTACGTCGAGTAATCTTTAAACTAAAGATATAAAGACATAAAGCTAAGATTTTACAATTATGTAGTATTCCCACAGAAGATACTGCAACTAAAGGCATGCATACAAGTAATATAACGATTGGTTTAACTGAACTTCGAGAAGCACTCTTAAATATACTCAAACCAATGAAAATCTGAATGTATATATATGTTCCTCCAATTAAAACACCGATATCAATTCATCTCTTAAATACTAAAATATAAGTTTTCGTGTGTTGATGCCTACCAGCCATATTAAGAACTTCCCATGTGTGGATTTAGAGCCAATATTATTAAAATTAAGATCTCAAAGTGTAAACATATTATATCAAACTCTTCGAAAAAGTAATAGATTATATCACTAGACACTAGATTGAAAACCCGTAAAGTAATAACTGAACGCACTTGTCACAAATGATGTGGAAACACAGAAAGAAATAACACATTCTGAAATATATTCAAGTAATATCAAAGTTCAAACGAAAAATGGAAGAAGTTGAACCTATTCTGTTGATTTTGTTTAATTTATAAATATTCGCAACAATTACAATTTAATATTATTATTATTTAAATAACATTAAACATTAGAAATACTTTAAAATTTATGAGCAATTCTAACAAAATAATTTGTACTCATTTAAATTCTCAAAAAAAGAACCATTGTCATATCTTTTCAGAGTAGAAAGTGTAACATAGATCTGACTTACCGAAAGCCCGAACCTCTGCGTCAATATTAACAAATATAAAAATATATTTACACCCAAACCTCAAACTGGCGTCAAGGTTTCATTAAAAACACTGGATTTTTCAATATAAGGAGTTAATAATTTCTGAGAATTCTTCACTTAACTAAGTCCATAAACTATTTATAATTATAAGACTATTTATAAATACAAGACAATTTAAGATTTACACTTGAAATTCATTGTTTTATTAGCTAAATATTTTCACTGAGAACTCTAAACAGAAATAAATATTACATTTTTGACTTCAATATTAAAAACCAACTCCCGATCTCGCACTTTAGTTAAACCGGGACAAACAACAACTATCCGGCATAAGCAGATCGTTGTCAATGGAACGCGGTTTGGTCTTCACTTCAAACATGTGAGATAAAGGTTTGAAGCAACATCGTATGATTACATGATATAAAATACTAACAAATCTATATTTATCATATTTACAGTTCGGTCTTCGATCTGCATTATGCCCCGCGCAGAATAGGTGCAACTAATTTATTATGAGAGCATGTACACCTCATATAGTGGTTCGCCGTATACTGTACGAATGAACTCAGACTGAACCTTTAGAGCAAATAAATTATTTTAAAAGTAGCAACAATTTAAATATATATATGTACCTATATCCAATTTAATAATCCCTGCATATAATATGGCTAAAAACCTTCTAAATCAACGGTAAAAAAAGAGTAAAGATTCTCAAAAATAAAAGTTTTTTGTACAATTATTATTAGCAATTCTATATACATATATATATATATATATATATATATTTTTAAAAAAAAACTTTTTCTTAAGCAACATTTTGATATTAAAACTAAATGTTTATATAAGCTCTTTTTAAGCCAATGTATAGAGATGACAGTACAGGACACTCATACTTCCAGATTTCATAAAATGCAGATTGCAAGCTTTGCCCATCCACACAGATCGTGTACTTCGATTGCCAGAGAATGTATTTCTTAACCACCGGACAACTGGTATTGAACTGAATAAAATCCGAGATCTTGAACAATAAAAAAATTTGATATGTCAATAGGCTCAAGTTAAGCGAATTAACTCAATAGATTTTTTTTTTAAATTGTTATGTACATTTTTTCTTCAATAGATATAACCTAACATAAGTAAATGATCAAAACATAATTTTCCAAAGAATTATGCTTCCTTTTCTTGGGCATTACAAAAAGACTAGCAACGCGATCATTGCTACAACAACAATTTTATAACTGAAACGAAATAATTAATTATCAAACGAATTCAAAAATATTTTAATGAAAACGAATTTAGTAGAATGAAAAACGGGCAAACAAGTGGACTCAAAGTAAGAAATCTTATAAGAAGCAATTTGCGAATGCGCAGAAAAGACCAGTCACAGTTGCTTGTAGGACACTGGAATTATACAAATTTCATTCATTTTCACACTTAACAAAACTATTTTACAGAAACTCTTATTTAAGCCGAAATCTTCGCTTTTATTAATTTATGTAAGACAATAGTAAATAATATATTGTTCACATATAAGGTTGGCAGTTTAGCGCCGAATTGCACATGTTTTTAATCGCGTCCGTGAAGGCCAGAAATGGAGTGGTGTTACCATTGGTGCGAACACGTAGTATAATCTCCAGACGAGTAAAACATCCAGTAACTTCAATTTCCGCCAGCACAACACTAGGCATCATTAACAAGTGCTCCTGGATATTGAAAACCAACTCAAACGTTTCAGATTGAATTATGAACATCATAAAGCACTTGTCATGGTTATTATCATCATCAACGAACCAAATGTTGGCTGGAATGTCAGGAATGTAATTAGAATTCATTTCTCTTTATAGCGAACACAATTTCAATCTATAATGTACAAAATACTTCTTTATTTTTTCAAAATATATTACTTGAACTTAGCCTACTAAGCATGGATTTAAACAAAGAAGCACCACCACCTCACTCGTACCGATGATCAAGCGAAACAAGCACTGAATTTGCAAATAAACAAATAACGAATGTTTTGACACTTTTGTTTTGATTTATCTTCACTTCAGTGCTGGAAAACGAAACTGTTGGACAAATAACAACATATGGAGTATTGATACATAAACTGCACATGCCATACATTTTTAAGTTTTAAACACGTTTATATAAGGTTCTAATCAATTATATATGTTAATTTAATTTATAATTATGAATATAAATTCTAAATTGAAGTATTTAACAAGTATATATATAGAAAAGTTATTGAGGGCTTATAGCACATTCACTGTCTCACTGTCTCATTTAGGTACTCGCTCATATATATAAATGAGTGAGTGGTCATATTGTAAAGAGTTAATTTTTGTATTTAATAGAAAATTTTATAAACTCAATCACATGTTCTATCAACAAGAACAAAATTTTGATTAAAAACTTATATCCTCCGTGCCTCTCTTTACAACTCAGCTGTTGTTTGTTTACATTTTACTTTTTACAAGAACAATAAAAGTTTCCACTTTTCACCTACCGTGCTTTTTATATACACACATACTTGTTAAATACTTCAATTTAGAATTTATATTCATAATTATAAATTAAATTAACATATATAATTGATTAGAACCTTATATAAACGTGTTTAAAACTTAAAAATGTATGGCATGTGCAGTTTATGTATCAATACTCCATATGTTGTTATTTGTCCAACAGTTTCGTTTTCCAGCACTGAAGTGAAGATAAATCAAAACAAAAGTGTCAAAACATTCGTTATTTGTTTATTTGCAAATTTAGTGCTTGTTTCGCTTGATCAACGGTAGGAGTGAGGTGGTGGTGCTTCTTTGTTTAAATCCATGCATAGTAGGCTAAGTTCAAGTAATATATTTTGAAAGAATAAAGAAGTATTTTGTACATTATAGATTGAAATTGTGTTCGCTATAAAGAGAAATGAATTCTAATTACATTCCTGACATTCCAGCCAACATTTGGTTCGTTGATGATGATAATAACCATGACAAGTGCTTTATGATGTTCATAATTCAATCTGAAACGTTTGAGTTGGTTTTCAATATCCAGGAGCACTTGTTAATGATGCCTAGTGTTGTGCTGGCGGAAATTGAAGTTACTGGATGTTTTACTCGTCTGGAGATTATACTACGTGTTCGCACCAATGGTAACACCACTCCATTTCTGGCCTTCACGGACGCGATTAAAAACATGTGCAATTCGACGCTAAACTGCCAACCTTATATGTGAACAATATATTATTTACTATTGTCTTACATAAATTAATAAAAGCGAAGATTTCGGCTTAAATAAGAGTTTCTGTAAAATAGTTTTGTTAAGTGTGAAAATGAATGAAATTTGTATAATTCCAGTGTCCTACAAGCAACTGTGACTGGTCTTTTCTGCGCATTCGCAAATTGCTTCTTATAAGATTTCTTACTTTGTGTCCACCTGTTTGCCCGTTTTTCATTCTACTAAATTCGTTTTCATTAAAATATATTTGAATTCGTTTGATAATTAATTATTTCGTTTCAGTTATAAAATTGTTGTTGTAGCAATGGTCGCGTTGCTAGTCTTTTTATGATTCCCAAGAAAGGGAAGCATAATTCTTTGGAAAATGATTTTTTGATCATTTACTTATGTTAGGTTATAATTATTGAAGAAAAAATGTACATAACTATTTGAAAAAAAAATCTATGGAGTTAATTCGCTTAACTTGAGCCTATTGACATATCAAATTTTTTTATTGTTCAAGATCTCGGATTTTATTCAGTTCAATACCAGTTGTCCGGTGGTTAAGAAATACATTCTCTGGCAATCGAAGTACACGATCTGTGTGGATGGGCAAAACTTGCAAACTGATTGCAAACTGATTAATATAATACTTACATCATTTTTGTTTCTATTTCATAAATCCAAGATGACACTTTATGGACAGCGGTTTTTAAAAATACATAAGATAAAAGTGTAATCGTAGAGCGTATTTAAAACTATATCTAAAAATGGGTTCTAATAGATACGATTTATCAAACTGGAAACTACGGCGGCATAAGTACATAATATTAAGATGGAACTACCATATTTTAAGGGGATTGGAATAAGCACTGGAGACTTTTTTTTTCAAATTTTTTCCTTTTTTGATCAGATCTCGTATATATATACCAGAATTTGTAATGCAGATGGTAAGAATTGGAAGAATTTATCAATTTATTGGTCGGCAAAAATCCAATTAAATAATTGGGGAAAAAACAGCATTATCTTTTATTAGATATTATTGTTAAAATTAGTTATTATGTATATATATAATATAATTACTGAAACGTTTAGTTATAGTAGCGAATAAAATAAAATAATTAATAAAATTACAATACAATTTACAATACATACAGCGATTTATATAATAGTAACTATATACGCTGTTAGGTTGGTTTAAGTTGGATTGAATTATCCGGATATGAGTCACATATAGCCCCTTTGATCTCTAGCAATACCAGATGAATTTTGACATTAATATTGTTTTACGAATCAAAGGAGGACTTGAAGTTCTATTTCTGTCGTATTATCTATCTTCCCTTAAATACAATAATATATAAGTTGAAATGACACATAATATCTTGTCAACTATGAACTATCCTGACAATAAATAAAACAATCTGTTGATCTCTGAAAATCGCTATTAGCTAAACAAAATGTGTGTCAAATGCAATTATATATGAAAATAATAATTAATAATTAAACATTTATATATTGATCCATTTGGCAGCAATTAATATTATAAACATTCAAATGTCCATTGCATTTTTAAACTAAGTAAGCAATTTATTTTTGAAAAAATAATATAGTAAATACTGTTCTTCAAAATCTGCATTAAGAAATTTCTAGTTTTGAAAAGCTGTACAGATGTATTTTGGTTTAAATATTTTTTTATAAAATGGCTTTTAGGTTTCCGATTTTAATTAAATTATCACAAAATTTATGTCGTAGGCGTTCTGAATTGTCTCAATACTTGCAGCGCCGCCCGTTAAGCTCTGGCGACGAGGATCAGTGTTGTAACGACAAAGAAGGTAACTTGTGTTCAGGTATGGTAGAGAGGCCGTCTTCATGTCAAGATCAGCTAAACACAACTATTCACAACAAGTTTGAGGTGCCGGATTTTTTATGTGAGGACGTTTTTCGCAAATTTGAGTCTAAGGACGAAAAACTGGGACCTGGCGCTGGTAAATGTGACAAGTACAAGAATGCTGAGTACTTTGGCTATCATCGTTTTTCCTTTGCTGATTTAGTGACAACTTCCCTGGATTTACGTGATCAGCGTATTAAGGATGATGGTGCTCGTTGTATCTATAAAGCAACTGATGATTAAGCCAAGTTAAAGCAAAACTTATGGGCAGTATTCTCTCAGTGTCTCAGTCGCTCTTTCTCCCTCTGAACATAGGTTGTGGTTTTCAATATGTACTTGATTCAAAGCTAAAGAAATCGAAGCAGAAATTGGCTTTTGTATAATAAACAAAAATGTATCCGGCGTTTTTAATGTATGTTGATTTATATTTTTCAAAATTTTTAAAAGTAAAGAACCATTAATCTATAAATAAAATTGAATTTATTTTTATAAGTATTTTACAACGAAGTATATGATTAAAGTATATGAAATCTACCATTAATAAAATAAATCATTAGTGTTTTGTTGTTTATTGAATCTGTTTTATAAGAAGATTTACAGTAAGTAAAGCGTAACACAAAGAACTGCCAAATTACGTTCTTTACACTGAATTTCATAGAACAACTTTGTGTTAAGTGTGGTGAGAACACCAGTGCCGCGCAAATAAACTATACAAAAATTTAAATTCAAACCCAAACAGCTGATTCACACATCAACACAAATTTTACTTGAAAGAAAGTGTACGAGTAAAGTCTATGTAGCATTTTCAAATTTCGACAGGGATGTTACGCTCTCTCAGATGCTTTCATTTACTCAGTGCTACTCAAAGTTACTACGAGTAGGTTGTGGAACAGATCTAATATATTGCTGGTGCCAAGTTAGCAACGTGAAAAAATGATTTATTTGTTGAACTTTTTCAGAGATATTTAATATTTGAGTTGCAATAATGAAATGGTATTTATTTATTCTATTTCTTGAGCTTTTTTTTTTATACTTCGGAAGTTGAAATTTTTTATAAACTTGAAATTTACTGAATTTAAAATTTACTGAAAATTTTATAAAATTGTACTACACTAGTTTTGTGTTATTTATTGCCTCAATTGAATCTGTATTAGAAGTATAAGAAGTATAAAATAAACTTTTTTATTTGAAAAATACGCATCAGGGATCTAATGGTTATATACCAATCAAAAGATTTTTTAAAATTCTATAAATAATATGCATATTTGTTCAGTTTATTTAATTTCTTTAAAAAATAAATTTTTCAGTATTTATTTATAAATAGCAACCCAGGGTTCCACAGTAACGTTTTCAGCTGTTTGCTCATAAATATATTAAAAAATGTAACAGTTGTCAAAATGAAAACCCTAAACGATAATGTAAACGCTAAAGCAACTTTAGCAACTTTAGTTCGGTGGCTAAAGTTCGTAATGTAAACCCCGTATTATATTCATTTCAATTATACGATTATATCACAAATAGTAGGTCACAATTTTTCCTTCATGAAGAATACAACTCTGTATTTTGAATGGTGCATTAAATTAATAAAAAATAGCTTCGGATTTTAAGAAGTACGGTCGTCGACAATATTCATTTGAATTCAATTCAAATTAAAATGGAGGAGGAAACTGTAAAATTGTTGGCTTCGGAAAATAATACCATTTTCTGTACCACTAAAATGGAAACAATGTTCGCTTCAATATATGCAGATGATGAAAATGTTGAAAAGCTTGTGAACTGGATATTTCAATATGCTAACTATCCAGGACTTATATCAGATTATTGGGCTGTAGAAATGAAACTGAACTATTTAAATGAAAAAATATATGGACTCCTCAAAGTGTTTGTTGGGGTTTTAGAAAGGTCCGAAGACACGCCTGAGACCTGTCTGGTTATGTTGTTCAAGATCCAATTTTATGATGTGCTTCAGATAATTGTTAAAATATCTGACAATTTACAACTACTTAAGCAGATGAACGATGTTCTAAATGGAATGCAGTCTTCCAACTTTGTGGATGTGATAAAGAAGGAATTTTACGAAAATTTGTTGGCAAAAGCAATCAAAGAACTTGAACCATCATCAGCAGAAGCCACAGGTTCTGAAGATGAGAGTAGCTTGTAAACATTAATTGCCAGTGTTTTTTTTTTTTAAGTTAAATATAATCTTAATTCATGAATAAATCAAATGAATATACCAAACAAATAATAAAGAAATAACTCATATTGATGTTTTACATTATAATTAATACTGCATATAATTTCTACTGTTTCTTCATATTCCACTATTGTAGATCTTGTAAAATCATGATTCTGATGTAATGCATATTACGTACTGTAACTCTTCGTATAGAAAGTAGTCTACATTGTTATTACCCATCAAACTTATTGGATGCATTTCGCACGATTCGCTTTCTTTGCCAATCTGTTTCTTTGGTGTTCCATGGATGGACAATTAAATTGTTAAAAATAATAAGTAGTCAGTACTCGCTATGCGCTCTGCTATCTGAAAATAGATGAGTTTCATTGTTTCTTCGGTGGGTATTCATCACATTCTTAAGGCGTTTGGCTATCCCCGCTTGGTTCAGATTCCTCTTCACTTAAATTTTTCTCATGTGGAGACCATCAAAATACAAATGAAATCTTAAAAAGATACATGCTAGCATGAGTACACTCGTTCATTAAATTTATTTTATCTAAAATTTAAATAAAAAGACACATAAAATAATACAATAATATAATAAATAACATCTAAGATATATAGTTCTTTATAATTGATTCACGTAAAGTGAATATTTAATTTCTTCGTTCAAGATATCTGGATCAAAGTGATTTCCTTGCTTTCTAGAAAGGAAAAATACATAAGAGGTTGCCAAATAAGATTGCACCAGAAAACTTTTTAATTAAACCTCTCGAGAGGTTTGAGTGACAACATTTCATATTAAAATGGTTTCCAATATTAACCGAAATAAATTATACTATAATTAATTATATTATTAATTCATAACATATATAAATATATGACACGAAAAAAAATATAAAAATTATATCCATATAATATAGATTTTATGTTCGATGAATTCATATCACAGCGTTTACAACATTCCAAAGAACACTTTTCGCATCCATTTTGCTCGGATTGACCGGTGTTAAGTTGGCAGCGCTACCTTCAAGTTAGCAAAAAATGGATATAGCTTTCAAAATAAATAAAAAATTTTATAGTAAGATAATTGGCAAAAAATCTATATGAAACCAATGCAAAGATCATTGCTGTTCATGTCGTAGGAATATAGGTAAATGACTAATTACTAATAAATAAGATTTTTATAAAATTTTAATAACCACATTTTCCAGTATAAAGAAAGAAGTAATTTTTTATTGAACTAGAGTGAAGAAGATAGTTTCCGAGGATGCACGGTGACAAATTTATACGATCGTTGCAAAACTGGTCGTTTGTTTCGGGGCGTCATTTGATGAGATTTCTCTGAATAGATTGAAGTCGATCTGACACAATTAAATATCTCTATTAATTTGGTTAGTCAGAAGAAGGGAAAGTTACTGCACTAAATATATATATAATTATTAGTGGAAAATAACTAATAAATCGACGGTGCCTTATTCCTCTTAATTAATGATCGAAGAAGTGACTACTTAAATAAAAAATACTACACAGCGAGTTTTAAATCTTTGAGCTTTGTTTGAATAGACTGAAAGTTTTCCAATGTGAAGGACAAAGCACAGTGATATAATATATCATTTTCAATTTTCACAACTACAATGGATTCTCTACATTTATATAATTATTTTTTTGTATAAATATAACTAGTTTTCTTTTTCCATTTTAGAAATACTTGTTTTGTTCAAAATTATGGGTACCCTGAAGATGATATAAATGGGTCTATTGCCAATGAACTTCAAAAATATTGTCATCGGATCAAAGGTTTTATCAAACGCCGATTGGAACTATAACTCAATTGATTGATTAATTACCTACGTATCATAATTGAAGTAATTAAATTTTTTATTTATGTTAAATCTTTTAATTTGTTTTTTTGGTAGTACGAGATAAATGCGGCACCTTTCATGGCAGATTTGGATATTTAATTTTCCATAAAACTTTACACTACGACTAATTCTTAATTTTAGTTTTGTAAAATTAGAAAAATTAATTACCAAACATTTTTTATAAAAGAAGAAGTAATCCATTCGTTTTATAGAAAAGATAACACTGTTAAGAATAAAAATTTATATATGACTTTCTACAATAAGAGTCTGTGAAGCCTTAAAGGAAATGAAATAGTAGAAGATAATGAAAGAACAACAAAACGAAATACAGATAATTAAATTAAAACACCCACATGTAATGAATTACCAATTGGTACTTATACTGGAAATAGATACAGCTGAGAGTAAAGAAGGCTTTGAAAATACTCATATAATCGTATTCTTTGTTATCTCGGAAAAGATTAAAATGGTTGGGAGTTCCATAATTTGAAAAACGTGTTATATATACATTATAAATAAATCTCGAGGTCTAGGTTTAGGTTCAGCTAGTAACGGCAGGGACTACTAGATACATATGTGGTTCACAACCAATTAGAACAATCGAAACTAACTTTTGTTTAGTAAATGCTGTACAGAAACTGTAACCAAAATATTGTGATGTTTGGAACAGAAATTCTTTGATTTCCAATAACTTAACATATATATATAAAGATGTAACTTAACTCAAATATATTGACTATATGGAAGAAATTCAAGTATTACATTCTTTAAAAACATGAGCTGTAAACTATTTATAGAACTTGTGATTATATGCATGGCTGATTCTTATGATTTTTGACTTTAATAATAAAGAACCTTAATACTATTAAGTAAATATTATTAGAGAGTTTTAAGTGATGCTTTAAGTGATGATGCCAATCCAGCTTTTAGTCTAATTATCGTAAATAGTCTGAATTTAATAGCCTAAATGTAGATAGAATATATATATATATGTAGGAATAATAATATATTTTATATGATAATAGTATTTTATATTGTTATATGTGTTTATAAGAATATAAATATATAATTTATAAGATAATTTAATTAATCCATTGTGGAATATTGTATAGTAGTTACTTGTATATCAAAATACTATATGGAATGTGGATTGCAAATATATTAAGAAGAACCAGATGCTTTCACTTGCACTCATAAAGTCTAACTCATTATATCTGATATTATAATATATTAAATTTTTATCAATGGGTAAAATATAAATAAGTGAGTTATATTGATTTCTTTGGAAGAAGCGTATTGATACCTAACTTTTGTTTTATTTGTAGAGAACTTAAATTGTGATGAAAGTCATATTATAAATTGATTTGTTAAAATTGCATTACGTGTTCAATAGTTTATTTTAAGTTAA